GATGTTTTATTGCCACCAGGGAGTCGTACCCTCCTGATCCCTGACTGCCACCAACTGGAGACTAAAACGGACTCTGTATGCAGAAACCCACTATACTCTAGAATGACTGGGTTCGAGTACATGTACAATTTCCGTATGCAGCGGAAGATCGCTATATCTAACAAACGGACAACTGTACAGACTTGCCGATACTTTTATCGTCTTCAGCAGCCACAACTTAGTCAGAAACAGCTCTAAAAAATGTGTGAGCTCCTAAAGGTTACGAGTTTCTAGAAAATACCACCTTGGACCTTAGACTAGAACCCAAATCTCGCTATTTTCCCCTTACGGTAATACCGTTACAACATAACGTTTTTTGCTAAGGGTGTCGATTGTAGGGGAAGAGTGTGTTGATCCCTACATGGGAGCTCGCGGTTTTCCTGGCGACTTGAATTCTCACTTGACTGACTCACGACTGCCATCCAGAGCACACGAGAAGTCCATCGAGCCGTCCACTCGGCAAACCTGCAAGAAAGCACCACTTCCTGCTCAATACACAGTGTTTCGGGAAATTCACCCCTCATCAGTTGAGCTTGAGTAGGCTGAGGAAGATTGTGCCTGAAGAGCACCACTTATAATTATAGTGCTCGGCTCCAGGCACAAACATCACCAGGGATACAAACCTACAGAGACGCTCCGTTTCCAGCGCGACAAACACCACATGAACACCAGATAGCAGCATGAGTCAGTGTCGCTCATGGAGGTGCTGAACAAGCGCTGAGGACCGTTCGCCATTCACAACGCTGTTGCCTCCAAACCATTAAAGTCAAGAATTAGGAAAACTACAAGCTCCCATGTAGGGAGCAACACACTCTTCCCCTATTATCGCCGAAGTCGCACCAACCTCTTCTTCACAGTGTCTATTGTAGTTATTATAATTATTACGCTATTGAGCTAGTTTATAAATGTGTAACTTTTCCTATTTTCTTCAACACATAACATTAGATTTGAAACTGCACTATCACCCTGCATGCATTGCCTTGATAAACAAATGGCACAGCAGGTCCCTCTGGCCTGGATTCAGTTGCCTGGCGACGCATGGCCTCCACGTTCAAGGCACCATCCAATACTTTGTGTTCAGCTCTAGCTCGTGCCGCCCAGTCCTTATGTACTCAGGCTCTCAAGTCGAAACATGAATGAAGACGGTGGCGTATCTACTTGGTTGGGTACACCGCCCATGGTTTAACCACAAGCAGCGTATTAAGTTACAATGTACTCAACAAAACGGCTTTCTTGACACTTTGTGTCTGCGCTATGGTTTAGCTCTGAGTAGTGTGCCTTCATCGTGCGTCTGTGGCCGTGACATGACGACTCATCACGAATTCACGTGCCCTGGCGGAGGGTATCCTACTCAGCACCATAACCAGTTACGGGACCTCTTTGCCGACACGCTGGCGGAGGTGGTGTGTGACGCCGGTGGAGACTGAGCCCCCACTTACTCCATTGCAGGATGAGGCTTTTGTCAGGCAACACTGCCAATGGCGCTCGTGTGGATGTCCGGGCTTGTGGCTTCTGGTCGCGGCAGCAAAACGCTTTTTGATGTTAGGGTTACTCACCCAAGGCCATCTTTTTGCTGTCGTGATCACAAGTAATGAGCCAATTGGCGGATCACAAGCGTCAGAAGAAGCACCATTACACCGAACGTATCAACAAGGTTGATCACGGATCGTTCACGCCCCTGGTGTTTGCCACGAATGGCATGTGCAACAGAGGCCACCATTTTCCTGCGTACTTTGGCTGCAGGAATTCACGACCATCACTGTGACCTGTCGTATTCCCTGGTTGTGCGGCATTTGCGCTCGAGGATCAGTTTGTGCCTTGTGCGGTGGCAAATTACCTGCCTTTGTGGCGCCCGTGCGTCCTATGTCAGGAGGCATGCTGGTGGCGGTGCTCATAGCTTCGTCATGGAGTGCCGGGCCCGTGCTCATCTTTTGACCTGACTGTGACCGTCAATGTTCTTCAAGTTTAACATGGACTGACTTTATGTATTACCTCACTATTCAAACCGGATCCATTCTTGTTGTTGATTTGTTGTATGTTGAAAGTTTTGCTTTGATTTGCTGCGGAAACGTGCAGACTGTGTTTTATCCATGTTTGAGTGGGTCTATTTGATCGCTTTTCAGTGGTTTCTATTCTATGCTTTTCAGTGTGTGAGACTTCATTCACTCTTTTTCTCTTTATTTTCTTCTTCTTTTTAGGAAATTGGGTGTTTCTTGCATCCATGCCTTCATGTACTGTTGCTAATTAGGATTGGAATAAAACAATTCGCCCAATAGTGCCATTAGTGGTGTGTGTGTGTGTGTGTGTTTGTGTGCCAGCTAGTTCGGTTGGTAGGTACACTTATGCCTGATTGTGTTGGGTATGTTGCCAACAGGCTTGGCTGCTTGAAGGTGTAATGTTGTACCTGCCACCTTTCGTCAGGCGAAATAACTGGTCAGTCGGCGACACGCATTTTTCACAAAAATTTGCGTTTCACCTGCTGGGAGAGTATGCGTGTACTCGAGTCTCATCCTGAGCATGTTTTTTTCTTCTTTTTTTCAGCTCCAGTATACTAGTAGCTGTATTTTTCATTGCAAAGCCGTCCTCGATTGTTGTGTTCGTTGTTCAAACGAAGTGGACATTCAATCATGAAGGCAGAGGACATAGGAGCCTGATTGGAGTTTCTCGTGGCATAGGACGGCCACACAGAGACACTTTGGGATTTTCTGAATATAAAATACCGTACGCACGATGCTGAGATCAATTTGTGCGATATCAAATTGTTTGTGATCTACCACATCGAGCAGAACGAGATCCAAACACAAGCTTACCGACGGTTAGGCTGCCGACCTGACTGGACAAATGATCCCTGGCTTCACCTGACGCCAGAAGTCGGACACCATGTCTTTTGCCGCGACGTCCATCTCCAAAAAGAACTCAATCTTCGTCGTGAAAAGGCTTGAAATACTCAATATTCAACCGAGATTCGCGGACTCACCCTTTCTCAGATCGAATCATTTTTTGTTGTAGCAGTTGCAGGGCAGATCCCCGCCACTACTTCAACAGAAGATGGCTCCAAAGCATGCCTGGAACAAGCCATATCGAGGTTGCAAGCCACCCCTCTCAGCACTTTTTTTGAAGAAATTCGAAATTTCAATGGTGGAAGATATACTATGAAGAGAATTTCAAAAAGTATGTTTCGCGGAGCGATCGCTCAACCTACGTCATTCAAACTTTGCAGGATGGTTCAGACGTACATGCTAGGCATGGAACCACAGATCATAGCTGACACACAGAGTCACACACACGTACACAGCAGATTCGTGTGCACAGATACTAAATTAGTGGACGTCGTCATCTTCTTCCCGCTGATCTCAAATGTACTATGACGTGCTATTTCGCCTGACGGTTGGTTCCAGGGTTCATATACTTTCTATTTGAAGTATACATACCTGTTAACCATGGACTGCTTCTGGCTAGATTAACTCTTGTGTAATCAATGGTGCTAGTGAAGATTACATCAGATCCACTCTGATTTAGCCACCCACACTAGTAGCAAGTATTACCTTCACTGGGGGCAGGGGTAACTGCAGTTGGATCCCGGGACGGATACCCAGATGCCGTCAATCCTTTTTCTGCACCTTGTCTTCACACACTTACTGAGGTGTGGTGAGCCCATAAGTGAGATCATTTTCAAGTCCACCCAGAGTCTTGGGGATTTCAGGGGGTGTCGGCCGTTGGGCGGTTCAATAACCAATTGAGTCATCTTTCCAAGATTCCTTTTGAGTCTCTCTCCCCTCTCCCGGGGAGACTCACGTGACCAGTTTTGGCAGTGAGCAACAAGTACAGTGTGTGTGTATGTGTGTGTGCGCACACGTGTGTGTGTGTGTGTTTTCAAAGAGTACTCGAGTCCCCAATTTTGGCACTCGTTTCACCCCTAGTGTGTGTGCATGCGTGCATCTGTGCGTGCGTGTGTGTGTTTGTGTGCCCGCGGAAACGATGGCGAGATGCAATTAGGGTCGACCTGCGACGAATAAACATCGCCGACGAGTCATGGTTTGACACAGCGCAGGAACGATCTGAGTGGCGGCAAGCTTATCGAGCAATACAACCAGCTCAGAAACCGGCCTGGGAGATAGTCTGCGAGGTGTGCCGGCGTGCATTTGCTCGGCAGCAAGATATCGCCCGCCACAAGTGCATCATGGAACGGCGTAAACAAGTCCAGCAGCAAGCCAACAGCCGCCAGTGCTCTCAGTGTCACCGATGGTTTCGGAGTGCGGGTGGCATTGCAGTCCATCGCTGTGCCCAGTCCTGTTCTGCCCCGAATGTTGCCAATGCCACAAGCTCTTCACCTGTACGCCTATGTATTCGGAAACCATGCTGTACCGCTCACTGTCCC